GAGCCATATTTTAACTTTTTTTTTTCTGTGGCCCAACCATGATAGAGGGATCTTTGGTTTGGAGACAGGAGTGCATAGTAGATAATAAATGTCTCTGACTTCTTTAATTATATCAGATAGCAAGCTCCTGCAGCAGACAGGTTCTGCAGTGTATGTGAGCGTGTGCATTTTGTACATGTTGGATACTCAGTCTACAATCTGTTTCTTAAGTTCTGTTAGCAATCTGTTACTTACTGTCCTAACAAATCTCCAAAGATTCTTCTCCCACATTCCTTGGTATGCACACTCTGCATGGATCCTCTTGCACAGAAGCTAGACTAACCCTGTGTAACCATCAGGACTGGTAGGAATGATGTTGCATGATCTGAGAATAGGTCATAAAGAAACCTTAAAAAGTCCCACCTTAGTCTCTTGGTATTTTGTTCGTGATATGGTGGTACTTCTCACCATGCAGGTGTCATGCAGGCCCTAGGGACAAATCACATGCAGGTGCCTCCTGCTGATAGCACCAAATGAACACGCAGCTAATAATGAGCATAAATTGCCAGACATTTGAGTGAGCCATCTTACAATTACAATCCAGTAAAGATTTCAGGTGACTGCAGCCTTACTCAACATCTGATGTCAAAGGCATATGATACCAAAGCAGGAACTGCTTGGCTAACCCCAGTCAACCTACAGAATCATAAAAGATAATAACAAATGGTTATTTTAAATCACCAAGTTTGTTTTGCAGTAATAATGAGAACATTTACTCTAACCCATAAAAACAAACACATAAACAAATACCCTCAATGGCTTCTGATGTCTACAACTGGGAGCCCTAATCAATACATTTATATTCATAAACTGAGTTAGACTCTGGCTTCTACTGTATGTGTTATGACTATGCAATTGTATTTTTAAAATATGTACCTTTTTATAACTAAATTAGTATATAGCCTACAGATTTTTGCTCCTGGATGGTTTGTAATAATTCTATTGCAAAATTATTTCTAGTTTCTAAAGACATCTGAAAATAATACATTTCCACCATCTTGCCAGATTATTGATGTAAAAATATTTCTATTTTTTGTCAATAAATATTGATGATTTTAATTTTCTTGGAATATTATTCATTAAAACTATTAAACCTATTTAACCAGAATTGTATAGGAGATCCTTTCATAATTTTCTAAACCACTGCCATAATTGTAGTTATATAAACTTTCATATAACTAATCTAAACCAATAAAAGAGAAACATGTAAATTAACCATGACTCCACTATGCCCACCAGGCAATCAGGAGGGAATATGCACATTAGGAGGAGAAACATGGCGGCTGCCCAGCTGCTCCAGGCTTGGAGTGCCCATTGAGGTAGGACGCCTGCTATGAGAGGGAGGGCAGAGGGTGAAGGGATCTTCAGGAGCAGCTGGCCACAGTGAAGACGAAGACTGCAGACTCTTCTGCAGTGAACGCGAAGATGGCAGACTCCAGTCGGGGTCTACAGCAAAGACGAAGACAGCAGACTCTAGCTGGAGCCTGCAGCAAAGACAAAAAAGACAGACTCTAGCTGAAGTCTGCAGCAAAGGCAGCAGACTCCAGCTGGAGTGAAGGCCTGGGTCCCAGGTGCCAGAGGAAAACCAGTACTGGAAGCCAAGGGAAGGAAGGCCTATTGCACACATCTCTTCATGCCATGGGCCTCTAGTTTTCTATAATTGTTACTTTTGGCATTTTTCATAATTAAGCTATATAGTTGGGAATATACTTTTATTTTCATTGTATAAACCTTAGTAAAAATAAATTATCATACCATTAAAATCTCTAATAACTCAACTATAAATAATCACTGCCAAAATTTGAAGCATCTATAGTATATATAACAAGTCTTTACATATCCATTCATACAGATACTCAGGACAAAAATCTTGGAACCATTTTTTCTTTCTTTCACACCAATCCATCAATACATCCTTTTGGTTATTCTACCATAAAAATGGTTTCTAGAATATGACCGTTTTCATCATTTTTACTCAAACTAGAGGCCCGGCACACCACATTCGTACACTAGAGGAAGGGAGTCCCTCAGTCTGGCTGGTGCCTTCTCACACTCTAGGACTCCACAAGGGATGTAAGCCTGCCAGCTTAGGCCCAATCCCCAAGCCGGCAGTCAGACCCTCTCACAGTCCAGGACCCATCGCTCCTTATTGTCCACTTGCAGTGGAGGAGGGAGGGGCTCCCACCACCACCACTGCACTTGCCATCAATGAGCCTGGATTCTGGCTGAGTGGAGCACACTGACCACCAGGGGGAGCTCCTGTGTGAGCGCCTTCCCCCTGGTGATCAGTGCATGCCATAGTAGCTGGTTGTTCCACTGTTTGGTCAATTTGCATATTAGCCTCTTATTATATAGGACTAAAAGCCCGGTGCATGAACATTCATGCACAGCGGGAGTGGGGGGTCCCTCAGCCTGGCCCGTGCCCTTTCACAGTCCAAGAGTCCTCAGGGATGTCCCACTGACATCTGTGGGAGGTGACCAGACAGGTCCATCAGGGGATGGTGCCGCCCCTTCACCCCATCGCCCCCTGTGGCTGCTGGATGCCGCCCCCTCCACCATCACCCTTCCCTCCCTCTGCCCACTGGCACATGCTTTGGCTGGCCTGGCAGCATATGCATGCCTGCCCCTGCCTACTGGTCATTCTGCTGTTCAGTCAATTTGGATATTACACTTTTATCATATAGGATAACTCTCATCTCTAACTATTGTCATAACCCACCATGATTTATAAGAGCCCTATATGATCAGACCCTAGCATTCTTAGATATAATCACAAAGGCTTACTGTTCTTCAAATATATTAAGCCCACTCAATGTGTCTTGGCATTTACAATTCCTTCTTTCTAGAACATCGGCTCTCTAGATATCCTCACAGTTCATCATCTCATTCATTATCACATTCATGTGGCTTACCTTCTCAGTCATGCTTAAATAGCACCTCCCCCTAGGGGCCTTCCCTAACTACCCTATCTAAAATAGCAACCTCCAAACTCTATCCCTTTCTTTTGAATTTGTTTTTCTTTCATAGCATTTATCTGTACCAGAACATTACATATTTATTTATTTGTTTATTACCTGTCTGTCCACACTGGAACATTAGGAAAGTAGAGTAGAAGCTTTGCCTATTCTGTTCTCTGCTGTATTCTCAGTGGCTACAAGAGATATTTTCACACAGTAATATTTGTTGATGAGTATCTGTGAATATTCACATTATGACTTATGCTATTATTTGCACAAATTACATTAAATTTTATAACAATTTAAATAATATATCATAAATATTTATGTCATTAAATATTTGTCTAATACCTTTTTAATGGATATATTATTGCACATACCAACCTCCTTGTTGAATATTTAGATGGTTGCAATTTTTCATTATAAATGAAGCCATAATTAATTCTAATGAAATCTTTTATTATTTAATTATTCTTAGAACTAGAGGCCCTGTGCAAAATTTGTGCATGAGGCTGAGGGAGAAGGGGGAGTGTCCCTTCGCCCAGCCTGCACCCTCTCCAATCTGCACCACCCCCTTGAGGGATGTCTGACTGTCCCACCGGGATTGGGTCTCAAAGGGCAGTCTGACATCCCTCTCACAATCCAGGACTGCTTGCTCACCTGCCTGCCTTCCTGATTGCCCCTAACCACTTCAGCCTGCCAGCCTGATTGATATCTAACTGCTCCCCTGTCAGCCTGATTGATATCTAACTGCTCCCCTGGCAGCCTGTTTGCCCCCAACTTCCCTCCTAACTGCCCTCCCCTGCAGGGTTGATCACTTCCAACTGCCCACCCTTGCAGACCTAGTCCCTCTCAACTGCCCTCCCTTGCAGGCATGGTGCCTCCCAACTGCCCTCCCTGCTGGCCATCTTGTGGTGGCCATATTGTGTCCACATAGGGGCAGGATCTTTGACCACATGGGGGCAGACAGCTTGTGTGTAGGAGTGATGGTCAATCTGCATATTACTCTTTTATTAGAATAGAGGCCTGGTGCACAGGTGGGGGCCAGCTGGTTTGCCCTGAATGGTGTCCTGGATCAGGGTGGGAGTTCCCTTGGGGCGTGGGGCAGCCTGGGTGAGGGGTCTGTGGTGATTTGCAGGCCAGCCATCCCCCTGGCGACCCAAGTGGAGGCCCTGGTATCTGAGATTTATTAACCTTCTACAATTGAAATTTTGCAGCCTGGAGGGGATGGCTGTTCACTCCGTGGCTGCAGCCAATTCTGTTTGGATTTGTTTACCTTCTATCATTGAAACTTTGTAGCCTGATTGCAGGCTTAGGCCGGCAAGGGCAGGCAGAAAGCTTGGCTTCCTCCATCGCCTGGGAAACCAAAGCCTCTTCCTGCTCTCTGAGGCTGTGGCCATCTTGGTTGGGTTTATTTGCATACTCTCTCTGATTGACTGGTGGGCGTGGCTGGTGGGCGTGGCTGGTGGGTGTGGTGGAATGATGGTTAATTTGCATATTACTCTTTTATTAGGTAGAATTCTTCTCAGGAGTAAATTTGATCAGTTGAAGAAAATAAACATTATTAGGCTTTTTATATAAATTATACTTTTATCCTAAAAGATATATAAACTGATACTTTTAAATTAGTTCCATGATTAGTTTTCTTTATTATTTTTGTATTAGTTTTCTTTAATGCAAAGTAATAGAATGTCTGGTTTTAATTAAGGCTGGTTAAACAAATATTGGTGATTAATATTTATTGGAAATAATAAGGAAGGCTAGTAAGAAAAACAAATGAACTAAATTGAACAGACCAATATACTATATATATTATATTGGAGACTAAATATATCCATGAAAGAAGAGACACATACTTTAAACAGCTTAATTTCCACATTTTAGGTTAATTATTCTCACAAAAAATGTATCTTTCAAGCAGATAAAATCTGTACTTACTTAAAACATCAGTATCTTCTAAGTCCTGAAGAATGAGCTCTTCAGCAGTTTTACTTATTCTTTATTATGTTAATACAGTGAAGAACTGACTCCAGTAATTCAACTAAGTCCTGAAATTTTCAATTATGAAAGTATAAACTTTTTCATTAACACTATGTATCAAATATCCCCTCCTTCATTCCACATAAAAAATGTGAGAAAATGCATAGATGAGATAAAAGGCTATAAAGAGCATAATTCATCTTACACCTTTCAGAATAGCTATCATCAATAAATCAACATGGCAAGTGCTGGTGAGGATGTGGAGGAAAGGAAACCATTGTGCACTGCTGGTGGGAATGCAGACTGGTGCAGCCATTGTGGACGACAGTATGGAGTTTCCTCAAAAATTTAAAAATGGTACTGCTTTTTGACCCAGTGATCCCACTTCTGGGAATATATCCTAAGAATCCCAAAACACCCATCAGAAAGGATATATGCATCCCTGTTTATAGCAGCAGCATTATTTACAATAGCCAAGATGAGCGGATAAAAATCTGCGGTACATTTATACAATGAAATACTATGTTGCTCTAAAAAAGGAGGAACTTTTACCCTTTGGGACAGAATGGATGGCCTGGAGAGAATTACGCTGAGCAACATAATCCAGTCAGAGAGAGACAAACGCCATGTCATCTTACTGATATGTGGAATCTAATGAATAAAATAAACTGATGTACAAATGGAACCGGAAGCTTGGATGTGTGGGACAGACTGGATGGTGTCCATGGGGAGAGGAGAAGGGTAACTGGATAAAGAAGGTGAAAGCTTTAGCTGAAGAACATGTGTGCTTACCCTGTGGACACTGACAATACTGTGGTGAAGCCCAAGGGAGCAGGAAACAGGGGAGAGGGGAGAGAGAAGAGGGACACCTGCAAACATTAAAATGTTTTAATAAAATAAAAATAAAAACTGTAAAAAAGGGGAATATTTCAAACAAATATATATGGTAAAAATTTGCTTTTCATTTTCAGATGTTATGAATTATATCTATGATTCTGTTGAATTTCAAAATCACATGAAAAATATCAGGATATTTAGTTTCACTCAAATTAAGTGTGGTTAAGAAGACATAATAATGTAAAAATATTAAATTTTCTCAAATATTATATGTATAGGTTATTGAATCCTAATGAAAACTGAGAATATATCAATAGTTATTTTTTGAAGCTAGGCAAGAGAGTTTTGTGTAGTTTTTTTAAACTTAGTTGAGAAGATTTTGAAATTGCAAAACAGAAAATTGGACTCATTTGAAATTGAAAAATATAAAACTAATACAAAAAACATTAAGATTAGCCAAGATCGGTTTGGCTCAGTGGAAAGAGCGTCACCTTGGGGACTGAAGGGTCCCAGGTTCGATTCCGGTCAAGGGCATGTACCTTGGTTGCGGGCATATCCCCAGTAGGGGGTGTGCAAGAGGCAGCTGATCGATGACTCTCTCTCATCGATGTTTCTAACTCTCTATCTCTCTCCCTTCCTCTCTGTACAAAATCAATAAAATATATTTTTTAAAAAACATTAAGATTAATGGAAAATATAAGATAATTTTGGATAGATCATATGTAAAACACTAAATGTATAAAAAGATAAAATAAATCAATTAAGAAAAGTTGGATTATTCAACAAGTGACACTAGAAACATTAGATAAGTATGTTCAAGAATTTTTCAAATTAGATCTTCATTTTGAAACATAAATTTCCAGTGGGTTAAGAGTTTTGAGGTAAGAAAAGGAATCATAAACAGATTTTTAAAGCATATAAACATTGGAAGAAATATACAAGTGAAAAGATAGCATGTTTGATTTTTTTTTAAAGCATTCCCCCTATAGACCTTTTCACATAAAGTTTTCTTCCATCCATATATATATTCATATTAGAACATTCGTGATTAATGTTAAAAAGCAGGATACAAATATCTATAATAATTAAAGTGTAATATTCTGATTAGATTGGACATCCTTCCAGGACGATGCTGGGATTGCAGCTGCCACTGCTGCGAGGGAGGGATCCAGGCAGCTGGCTGGGAAGGCGTACTCTTGCACGAATTTCATGCTTCAGGCTTCTAGTATATACATAACATGGTATAATCCCAATTTTACCCAAAAAATACACATAAGAATGTGGATGAGTTTTATCTTCAATAACCTTTTATCTTTAATAAGGTGATTTTTGTCTTCAATAAACTTTTATATTTAAATATCTATCAATTTACACTGTTTAAAGATGATCCTAAGGTTAAACATGAGATAAAGACACAAAACACAATGAGAAAGTAAAATATCTCCTGAAAAGTTTCCTCCAATTAAAGGGCTCAAAAGTCCAAAACTTAACACTTACAGCATCACTCTCATCACTCTGGGTTTCTGAGATTGAATCAGTATCTACAGCATCTTTTTCCAAAGAAGAAATGCTGATTTTGTCCAATTTAGTTTCTATTTCTTCATTGATCTTTGTGTCATCAGCATCTTCCATCATCCTTTATAATAAATCACAGAACTAATCAAAGAAAATTAAAGAGGCTAATATGCTAATACAAATTGTGGGTTCTTTAATGTGTCATAATAATCCAACATTGTTCTATATACACATTTTAGTTTAACAAATGTTTATCACACCTGATCATGTCTGTACCATATATTGATATTTAAGAACAATGTTTGACTACAAAATGGTAGTCAAACCATTTCCCTAGACTTTTAATTCTAAGGGAAAAATTACATGGAATAAGCTGGCTTGCCTTCCTGAACCAAGAAACTTCACAGAAAAACACATCATAATAGAAATGATTAATGGAAAAATGCATATGATCAGCTTGAATATTCAGAGATTAAAATACAAGAGAACAACCTAAGTCTATATAAGGGGAAAATATGAGGTTAGTTTCTATTCATTAACTCACGAGTTGTTTATTTTAGCAGAGAGAGCCATGTTTTGCAACAATATATGTAATATTGGATAATTATGGCATGTACAATAAAATCAAAATTTATTTCATTTAAAACTTTTTTAAATATATTTTATTGATTTCAGAGAGGAAGGGAGAGGAAGAAAGAGTTGGAAAAAAAATCAATGATGAAAGGAAATCACTAATTGGCTGCCTCCTGCATGCTCCCAACTGGGGATTGAGTCATGTGCCCTGACCTGGAATCAAACCATGATCTCCTGGTTCATAGGTCAATGCTCAATCACTGAACCATGCCAGATGGGCCATTTAAATCTTTAATACTTATAATATATATGCATTAATCAGTATATTTCAGTATAACTTCATGTCATCATCATCATCATCATCATCATCATCACTATCATTGGCTTCCAAGTATTAAGTAGCTGTGACAAGGCAGGCACTAGAAGACATTTGTAAAATGGATAATCTTCAGAGTAACTTAAAAGGTTAAAGCTCATGAGAGTCATTGTATAGATGAGAACACTCAGGTTTGAAGAGAGAACTTAACTGTCCATAGCCATTACATTAATAAGTAATGGGGGCAGGATCATAATTCAGACATCTTGAATTCAAATCCTGTTCTTCATTACCAAATGGTCCCCAAGCTCAAGCTATTCATCTGCTCAGCAATCCTTCCGAACATCTCCTTTTCTAATAATCTTCAAATTATTTATCATAACCCATTTGCAGATCAAAAAGTTAATTTAGTGCCTCTTGATTATCAAGTATTAATGACAGGATAGGATAGAAAATATTAGAATAGGCCAGGGAAAAAAAACACCCTATAATTACATTATATACGCTAAAGATTTGTTTAAAAAACAAACATGTTTCTAAAGTATGTATGTGTGCTTGAATTACAATGTAACCTATTTTTTGTTGTTTTATTGTGGCTCTTGGTAGAAATAATTTTGAAAATAACTGTACTAGTCAGCTATTATTTTATTTTAGAGACTATTCCAAACTTTTATTCCTTCCTCAAGTCCCTGGCCTTTCGACCTCTGAACTCTGTCTTCTTGGATTTGCCTGCCTCCCTCTCTTCCTTCCTCTTTCCCTCCCTCTCTCCCTCTTTTCCCTTCCCTCCCTTCCTCTTTTTTTTTTGCCTTATTTTACTCATCCATCTCAAAATCAGCTTTTTTGGTGGATTCAAGATGGAATTATGCTGAGAAACCAAAGCATGAGATACTTTAGGATTCCATTTCTGTAACATTTTTACATGCCACAATTTTATAAATTGAGAACATATAAGTGGTTGATAAGAGTTGGGAGTTGATTGTGTTGGAAGAAGATGGTTATGATGATAAAAGGCCAACATGAGAGATCCTTATAATGTTGTAACCGTTCAGTATCTTTATGGTGGTAGTAGATAAGTGAATCTATTCAGATAATAAAAATTATATAGGACATATACACACACAAATAAGTACAAGTAAAGCAGATTGCATCAATATAAATATCCTGGTCATGATATTATAATATAGTTTACAAAATATTATCACTGAGAGACACTGGACAGTGTGTACAAGGCTGCATTTGTGTACAAGTATTATTTTTTAAGGCTGCATGTGAATCTACAATTACAGCACTAAAGTGTATAGATATCCTATGTACTCAATAGGAAAACAGATAAATATAATGCAGCCAGGGAATAGAATATTATACTAGTTTTTCAATAAAAATAAGCACACTTACTATCCTCCTCAGGTAATATAGCCACAGAGAAATAATTTTAAAATGGCAGGTATCAGAGAGATAGGCAGAGTAATATCACTCTTATGTAACCACACACACCCTTTATTTTTAGACAGAAACATGCTGGGAGGCATTGAGGAACTTTTGATTTTCATTTCATACCTTTATGTTGAGTGATTTTTTAAATAATAAATATGCAGTACTTCCATAATTTTAAAAGCTAGTTTTAAAATACTCAGTTCATCCACAACCTTTCTCACCTAAAGGAGAACAAAACACCACCACTGGTGCAAAATGTGATTCTGTAATCAAACCAACTTAAAGTGCAATCCAAAGGTTAGGTGAAACTTTTTTTTAAAACCTAATATAAAGCAGAATACACAGGTATACAAAACTTTATTTAGAAAGACAGGAAACTAGGGGAAAGGTAAGAGTCACTTCCACTATATGTCTCTCTCTGCTCATCTGCTGATCGTTAGATCAGCCCTGTCCAACTACATATTCGAGCACATTTGTAATCTTAAATTTTCTAGTTAGTAGCAACGTTTTAAGAAATAAAGAGAAACAGGTGAAGTTAACTTCAATAATATATTTTATGTAACTTATTTTATCCAAAATAGTATTTCAACATGTAATCAGTTAAAAACTGTTATGAAGTTCAACCTAAAAAGGCTACATTCTTGTTTGCCAACTAAGTAGTCAACATCTGGTGTGCATTGTACACCTACAGCACATTTCAACGCGGACTGGCTGCATTTCAAACCCTCAACCGCTTCCTTTAGCTGGCAGGTGAGTGCAGCCCTAGACTGATTATGACATGGCGACAGCAAACATTTGAAGTTTATATTGAATCACTTAGAATTGGCTAAAGCCGCTAAACGTGGTAAATCTTAAGTAACTCTACCTTTCAACCATAGTTCAACTATAATAAAAGGGGAGCGAAATCTACTTTTAAAAAGTAACCAAATTTATGTATGAAAAAAAATAGACTAAGAGAAAGAATAGAGAAGAAGGGAGTGCGGAAGGCAGAGCACCTTCATTGAGGGAAGGTTAGTCAGAGCAGATCAAGTTTGACTAAGCCACCAAAATGCCCCAAAGTGAGGGGAGCCTGGAGCCTGGAGCCTCGCGCAGCGGCTCGCGGCCCCTCCTCTCTTGCCCTGAAGCCGGTCAGGACCCAGAGGCTCCGGCTCCTCTGCGCTCCCGCGGCGCTGCCTCCTTCCCACCACGACCCCACCTTGGGGGCCAAGCCTTGGCGGGGGGCGACTTCGCAGGGGAGGTCGCCTTTTGGGGGGCCCGGTGTGAGTGACCCCAGCAGGGGGTAACCCACCAGCAGCTAAATCCCTCCATCTAGTGGAAGAGAGCGCCCGGAGAAAGCAAACAAACTGTAACCACGGCAACAGCCAATCCCCAGGCAGGTGGGCCGCGTTTTGTACGGGTGCTCCAGCAGGACAAACTACTTCCTTCTGCAATTAGCATGAAGGCTGCATCTCAGGAGCTGGATGAGGAACTTAGGTAGATGTTAATATTTAAGTCATTTTGGAAAGTAGTTAACAAAGAACTTTATATTGTTTCTGATCTACCTATACTTATTACTTGCATATAATCAATGTTAAATTGCCTTTGTTCATTCCACAAAAACTTAATCCTGAATAGTGACTTATGGGGTCGGAATTTGAAAGGGAAGCCAATAAATTGTTTGCCTTCCATCACAGCAATTTCTTTAAAAACAAACAAACAAAAAAAAGTAAATTATCACTCATTGTCTATAAAAAAATCCTCTAAATGAATGAGTTAGTGGAGTGAGAAATTAGGAAACTTATTTTCTAATTGTTTTACTGTAAAATATTGACGTGATTCTCACTGTTTTAATATTAAATTTTAATTTTATGTATAAATCATGTGATTTAACTTTTACTTAAAATTAATCAAAGATTTTTGTGTGGAACAAATATATAGAATACAAATGTGAAAGTTAATTTTAGTTAGTAACAGGTATTTCTAATTTTTATTGTTTTTAAGTTTGCAAACAAAGAATTAAATTCCAAGAGGAAGTGGCTATGCATAATTGCAAAAGATATCTGACATACAGTAAGCTAAGAGCAAACATTTAATTGAGCCTTTGAAAGAAAATAGACTCTATTGCTTGGTAACAATACCATAGTAAACTTGTATTGCATCAACTTAAGAATTAATAACATAAAGTGAGAAATCAGTAGAGTTTTGATATTAAAAAAACATGTTAATGCCTCATTCAAAAAAGATGATTTTCAAAACTAAACTATTCCTGGTTTTAGATCTAATTAAGTTTAATATTTTCATTATCAAAGTTCATGATAAATGCTCCTCCCCTTTTTTTTTTAGTTTAGTTTTGTGGCTGATTTATAGACTATTCAAACTCTTCACTTATAATGGCCAGACTAGCATATGATGTTGAAATTCAGATGTAAAAAATTTAAGCTTAATTTTATTTATAATTAGGAAAGTAGGCGTTTCCATATATATATATATATATATATATATAATCTATTAATAATCAATTTCTAAAACTAATTTTAAATAGCTAATTTAGTAATCAGCTAACTTGAAGATGATGTATAGTTTGCTTTCCTTCATAAATCTTACCTTGCCAAACAAATGGGCCCATTACGAGGGCAGACACTCATCTTGACCTCCAGGGGGCGCCACGCAGTCTTCCCCAGTCATGAGGCATTAACCAAAAATTAATAAATTAATAAATTAATAAATTTTTTAAATTAAAAAAGCCTAAAACTAACAGAAAACCAAAACATAAAACAAATTTTTAAAAAGATGCTTTCCAAGGCGCTGCTGGATACCCTACCTGTGGGAGCCAGAGCCGAAGAGACCTCCACCATCTGCTTTACAATTGCCTGCCAACCGCCTCGCCTCCGGTTGTTCCTCTGCTCCGCGCGCCCAGCCTCCTGCAGCTCTGCAGCTCCGCGTGGACTGTGAGAGATCAGAAACAATGTAAAGTTCTTTGTTAACTACTTTCCAAAATGACTAAATATTAACATCGACCCAAGTTCCTCACCTTTCAAGTGTTACCAGGGTGGACGCTGGTTCTCTTCCTGCGGGGTTTGGTTGTGTCAACGCCGCAGCAGAAGACCTTTAGGAATGTCTGCCAGGCCCTTTGCGCCAAGCCCGGCCGGGCCCTGGTGTTGGCGGCGGGAGAGGCTCGGGGGCTGCCCTCTTGGGGGGGGCTGCCGTCTTGGGGGGAGCTGTCAGGGGGGGCTCCCTCCTGGTTCTCCGCCTTTACAGCCTTGCTCTCACTGCTGCAGAAGCGGTTGCTGGTGCGGGGGGTGGGGGCGCCCCCCGGGCGGAGCTGCGGGGCTGGGCCGCGGGTCCCGGGCTGGAGCGCCTGCACAGGCTCCAGGGGAAGAGGGGAGGCTGCGGTGGTCTCCAGGCTGGACGGTGGCAGGGGCAGCGCGTATGTCTTTTTCACCCCCAGGCACGGGGGCCTCACCATGGATGGTCTTGGCGAGCCCTCTGCCTGGAGCGCCTGCACAGGCTCCAGGGGAAGAGGGGAGGCGGCGGTGGTCTCCAGGCTGGATGGTGGCAGGGGCAGCGCGTATGTCTTTTTCACCCCCAGGCACGGGGGCCTCACCATGGATGGTCTTGGCGAGCCCTCTGCCTGGAGCGCCTGCACAGGCTCCAGGGGAAGAGGGGAGGAGGCGATGGTCTCCAGGCTGGACGGCTGGGCGCTGGTCTTCTCCGCCCACCGGCAGGGGGGGCTCGCCACTGATGGTCCTGACGAGCCCCCCGATGACCGGGACTCCTCGCGGCTGGAAGGGGTGGCGGCCCCAGTGTCAGGGGGCCGGTAGGGCCTGACCTTGACGGTGCGGCCCGGCATCCTCCCCATGGCCATCCTGCCCATGGTCATGAGGAGGATGCGGTAAGTCCCCATTATTCGATCGAATGTCTGGCCCGCCACGGAGTCCCTGATGTCCTCCTCCCTAAAGCCCATGCGGCGCATGGTCTCCACCACCTGGGGGTCCAGGTCCTCCCCGGGCGGCTCGCTGTCGGGAGGCAGGTCTTCTGGACCCAGGTCCATCCAGGGCATCCGCATGGCCTCCTCCAGGGTCGGCCTCTGGTCGGGGTCGACCGTCAGGAGCCGCTGGAGGAAGCTCCTGCCCGCCTCCGACATGTAGTAGGGCGGTTTGTAGTGCCCATCCAATATGCGCTGCGTGATCTTCTCATCGCTGTTGCCCGGGAAGGGCACGCGCCCCGTCACCGCCTTGTAGAGGGAGGCGCCCAGGCCCCAGACGTCGGCCTTGCGGCCATCATACGGCCTGCCCCGCAGCACCTCGGGCGCCATGTAGTACAGTGTTCCCCAACAGCTGGTCAGCAGCTCGGTGGCCTCGTGGCTGAGGCCGAAGTCCGCCAGCTTGGCAGTGAGGTCTTCTTCTAAGAGGATGTTATCCGGCTTGATGTCCAGGTGCGCGAAGCCGCGCCGGTGGCACAGGTGGAGGGCCACGACGACCTGGCGGAACACCGCGCGGGCCTGGCGCTCGGTGAGGCGGCGGCGCCGCTCCAGGTGCGCCTTCAGGTCCCCGCCGCGCACGTACTCCATCACCAGATGTACCTCTTCGGGGTCCACCACTACCTCCAGCAACCGCGAGATATTTCGGTGCTGTAGGGTTCTTAAACAGCGGAGCTCTCGGCAGGAACTGGAGACACCGACACCACGCCGGACGATGCTCTTTACTACCACCTTGGTGTCCGTGGGCATGTGTCTGGCCACCCGCACCTTTGAGCGCGCGCCCTTGCCGATAGATTTCCCTAACACATAGTCTCCTATGCACTGCCCCTTGAAGGTAGTCGGGATAGGGCAATGGGGCATGATTACAGCAAAAGAGTTAAAAATAAAAATGAAACTGCAGATTTGTCCTAGTTAGTCTCAGGTCACCTAGACGAGCTCCCTGCACTACACGGACTAAATCCTCAGCCCAGGCAGGGCCTTATGTATGGGAGTGGTTTGCAATTCCATCACACTGGCACTTTATGAGGTCAGAGCAACAAATGGACCAATCCCGGCTGGGGATGAACCACAGTGGTTTTTCTCACTTTTTGGTCTCATGACCCTTAAACTCTGTGAAAAACAAAAAGACACACACTTTTATTTGGGATATTATGTTGATATTTATTTATTTATTTATTTATTTATTTATTTATTTAAAATATATTTTTATTGATTTTGTACAGAGAGGAAGGGAGAGAGATAGTTAGAAACATCGATGAGAGAGAGTCATAGATCAGCTGCCTCTTGCACACCCCGTACTGGGGATATGCCTGCAACCACGGTACATGCCCTTGACCAGAATCGAACCCGGGACCCTTCAGTCCCCAAGCCGACGCTCTATCCACTGAGCCAAACCGGTCTCACCTTGATATTTTACTAGAAATAAAAATCTATGTAGGTGCACACATGCATGCACACACATACACACACACCCACGCAAAAAAGAAAAGTCTGACTTATTCTCATGCTCCAGTTCTCAGTTCAAATATCACCTGCTTAGTTCTCAGTTCAGATATCCCTGATCCATCCATTCCTACCTACCTCACTCAGGCCATCACGTTTGTCATCTTCATAGCACCGACCACAGTGGGGCGGATTTTTGTTTACTGTCTGTCTTTCCCAGGAAGGAAGGAAGGAGCATGACTATAGTGTCCCCTGAGTCTAGCACAGTGAGCGGCAACAAAGTAAGTATTTAATAAATGTTTGTTCACTGGATTAACAGGAGAGTTTGTGGTAACAAAACATGGCCAACTACTTAATCAAAGTGATTCATGAAATGTCTTAAAAAACAGTCATGTCCTGTCCTCACGCAGCTTTTGGGGCAGATACGGTAGGACCAGGGAGGGCTGAGGTCTACGTTTCTAGGTACGTGGTTGCTCAGTGAGACTGAGGAACAGCCAGCTGATAGGAGCCTCGCTGTAAAGATTAAAGATTATTGGCCCTTCCACTGGCACTTCTTGCTAAGGACGAAAAAATTTGGACCTGCAGTAAGGCTGCAAGGTATGTTTACATTTTGAATACCCATTTCCAGATGACACAAAAGACTTCTCTGGATGAAAGAATGTCTACAGAGGTACAAAGGGTGGGGTAATATGTTGGGGTAAATTCTACCCTTTATGGAGGCAGAGAGGGAGCAGGCAGGCTTGAGGACACTTTGGGGGAGCCTCTGGCATACTCTATTCCAGACTAATCTAAGAAAAATCCCTACCTTCAGTACATTGAGTATTTTAATCACATGTATGTTATTCTAGTAACCATTTTCTTTTAATAGTTCCCAAAGTCTCAGCTTTGTGTCAAGGGAATCTTTAGAGGGATTGGCCTGTGAGCTTCTCCCTCTAGAACACTTTTGTTTGTTCATTTTTACCTTACTGCTGTGATACTTGGCTCCTAAACATCATAGTCTTTGCTGCTGAGCCGATTAGGACCCTTTCATTATTCTAAAGAGATGTTCACAAGTTAGTCAGAGATTACAAAAAACTCAGGAAGGAAAGGAGAAAAACTTTCCAAGAAAGTTGCCAGAGTAAGAGTTAATTATATCTATTTGTAAAAATTGTATTAATAGTTACTTAAGAAATAATACCAATAGAATATATATTTACTTAGCATAATCTCTTTCAGCAAGGTAAATACAGACTCAAAGATAAGACATTTAATATAAAACTGTCAAGGGAAAAGTCAAGCTCAAAAGCAGAGAAAGGAACAGGCAATCCTTTTTTTCAATATGCTACATCAGTTATATGTGTCTAATTGTGCCCAGATGAGCATATAACTTTTTTATGTTTTTTCTTTTTTCTTTTTTTTTTTTTTACTTTCTTTTGTTTGCATGTGTTTTTTCCCATTGACCCCCTCCTCTCCACATTCACCCCTCCTCAGCGTTCACCACACCATTGTCTGTGTCCATGGGCTATGCATCTATGCATTTAAGTTCTCCAGTTAATCTCTCCCCTCCCAACCCCAACCCCCGCCTTCCCTGTGAAATTCATCAGTCTGTTTCATGGTTCTACGTCTCTGGATCTATTTTGTTCTTCAGCTTATTTTGTTCATTGGATTCCACATATGAGTGAAATCATGTGATACTTATCTTCCTCTGGCTTATTTTGCTTGTAATATTCTCCAGGTCCATCCATGCTGTTGCAAAGGGTAATAGTTCCTTCTTTTTACAGCAGGATAGTATTCTATGGTGTAAATGTACCACAGTTTTTTTATCCTCTCATCTGCTGATTGGCACTTGGACTGTTTCCAGATCTTAGCTATTGTAAGTTGTGCTGCTTTGAAAATAGGGCTTCATATATTGTTTCCGATTGGTGTTTTGGGTGTCTTAGGATATATTTTTAGAAGTGGGATCACTGGGTCAAGTGGGATTTTGTCTCCAGACAGAGCCCAGCTCTTCACCAACTTGGCCACTTAGACAGTTGAACTACAGCCCCAAACACTGAATACCACAACCAAGTCCTAAAAGACAGCAAGGGCAGCTCCATTCTGACTAGTCCTGCCCTCCTCTGTCCTATCGCAGCTGCCGGCCTTGCCTTCTGGCCTCTGAGACCTCTGTGTGGTCTCACCTCTCCCAGGCGAGGACCTGGCCCCCACTCAGGCAGCTTCCTCCTCGCAGAGCTGGGTCAGGCCCTGTTCTCTCCTGAGCAGTGCAGTCTCTGCCCCTGCTGCCTCCCACTGTGGGACCTGTAAGGAAGGAGGTGAAGCATCAAGGTTGCAAAGAGAGTTAGGAGGGGTGTACAATAAGTGTGAGGTGTAAAATAGTAATTCTGACATAAAATAAAAGCAGGGCTCTGTGGGGATACGGGGAAAGGAGCTGATAATGCTGCCGCTGGTCATAGCAAGGTCCAGGACAGTTTTTCTGCTAATCACTTTCTCTAGTTTCTAAGAGAAATAATGGTCAGGGAGGCCGGATACTATAACTTGAAAGAGTATGAGCAGCAGTATCCAGGTTTTCAGGGAGTTGAGTGTTTTGCCTTGTTTGTGGGTCAGTTTTAGAATGTGCTCCAGCAGCTCACCATCCATTTTTCATTGGTATAGCTTCATGTATGCCATGGCAACAACACCCCTGCTGTTTCATTCTCTTTCTAGCTTACAGAAAGTCTTAAACCTCTGGGTAATCCTACATCCCAGCTACTTTATTTTTAAAACAAAGTCGTGTGTGTGTGTGTGTGTGTGTGTGTGTGTTCTTTGCATTGCAGGACAAAAGGCAAATGGAGAGAAAATTAGGGGGGAAATGAACCCAAAACATTTTTACTTGATTTTTTTTTTAAACTTGGGCTTTAGGGGAAAGGTATTATACCCAAGGATACAACATGCACCCACAAAATTGATCTTCAGAAAGCTTAAGCCCCATGCCTTTCATTTTATTGGCATTATTTTCTAATCAACCAATGAATTAAAAGATGAGAGGCCATTTCGATCAATTGTGCTCACAATGAAGCCAATGCCTTTGTCCCAGGTCGCAGCTTTCCAAAGGCCAAAGAGCATCTTAAAATGCTTCCTTTCAGATTGCTAATTGGCCATCCTGCCTTGGCATCTGAGGAGGGAGGCACTTAACTTCTGTCCTCTGCCTTCATTCGGATGGTGTCAGGAAGGAGGCGGAGCTATTCATACACATGCGCACCAGAGGGAAGAGGCTCCCCAGCTCACCATCTGACTGCAGGCAGAACCCTGGCGTCTCTTGCTTTATCCTCTGCTGCTGTGCACCATACCACCACGTGTCTGCTACCAGGCACACAAAATTATGAATAAACAAATAATTGGCTCAGTTTCCACAGTGAATGACAAATGTTTTTCATGAACATTAAATTCCTATTTATTTATTTTTAATTTGAAAAAAATTTACCTCATTTCTGGCATTATTTTCCACTTGTCTTCCTTCTGGCAGCATGAATTATTTCTCTGAGGCAGAAACGCATAACTCTCTTGTTTGTCTGTTTTGCAAACTCTGTACATTGCCTAGGGAAAGCTTTTCCGTGTTGCCCACTCGCTTGTACAGACTCGGGCGGGTAATTCAGATCCGTTGCAGTTCCATGCCGCTGTCTGTTTCTTGCTCTCCAGGCGGCCTTTCCTTTGCATCTCCTGCAGTGCCCCCCACAATCCAAGCCTGGTATACAGTGGTGCTCAGCGAGTGCTTACTAAGTAATTGAGAGCTCCTTGGAATGTTAAGATTGATTTTTCTATCAGTGTTTGAAATTTTATACAGTAAGCACAGAAATAAGACATGTTGACAAATATTTTCCTAAAATAAACACAGATCCTCCCACTTACCAAGGAAGCTCTCACCGCACTAGCCTTCATGCCAATCCTCAACTGTGCCAAACTTAACTTTTTGTGTCAGAACCAATGCATTAAAAGAAATAATTGTTTTCAACGTATTTTGCATTTAAATGAACACTGTTGACAAATACTGAAATATCTCTGAAAGATGGGATATGTTTTAAGAGGTGCTTTCACAGCCCTGAAAAGCTTCACTGTGTCATTTTTTCCAGAAACATCCCCAATGTCCACTGTGTCGTTTTCCAGAAAGTATCCTGGTGTTCACTCTCTTTTCCCAGAAACTGTCCCAGTTTGGATTTTATGAAAAGCAAGATCTACGAAAACTTTTTGAAAGTGAGGAGTTTGAACCGAAACTATGAAGTTTCAAAAAAACATCAATGACTTGGACTGGGCAAGTAATGTTTTCAGAATGAGAAAGAAAATAAGAACCAGTATGAGTATTACAATAGCTGAAAAGAAAAGAGAAAATAAATTGAGTTGAGATACATCAGGATGTTTCTGAAGCACTTGCCTTGTGGTTTTTCCCTATAACAGGTGACTGACGAAAG